AGAGGCGTTCAATACACATACGGTCAACTAGAGAGGGTTCGATCATAAGTCTGTCCGAAAGTTTCCGTGCGCGCACTTCCTCAGCATCCTCATCAGCACGATCGCCATCATCACCGCCAGACGTCATCATTCCCACCCTCATCATCATTGCCACCATTACCAACATCTACATCACCATCGCGAACGTCGTCGTCACCTTCACCACCGTCGTGATCATCATCGTCGATGTCGTCGTCCCCGTCATCAGCGCAGCCATCATCATCGCCGATGTCGTCAAACCATCATCACTCGCCCGTGCCCGCCCGAGTCCTGTCTGGATCTGCACGAGAAGGGTTCTCGAGTCATTGCGCCAGATGAGTTTTGCCAACACGTTGCGGGTGGGTAGGAGGGAGGTGTGGGTTCGAGCATTGGAGTTGACGAGCTCATCACGTTCACAGTTAATTTGATCTTCTACAGCGCACCACAAAAAAACTACGTTGAAGCACGATGAATTGCCTCACGATGGTTGCAGCACATAAAACGCACGTCGAGGGTGCAGGAGCCCGATGTTTGGGGTCCACATTGTCGAACATCTTATGTCATCGTCTCTTTCTCCTGTCGATTTCAACTACATGTGCCTCGTCTCTCTCTCTCTCTCTCTTCAATTGGCGCTAGGGGGGGCAATGCCGACGTATCTGCGAACGCCCATCCCTCTCCTTTTCTGTCTCATTACAGTTCCCCTCCTCCGTCCATCCTCTCTTTTGTTTCTTCTCCTCCTCCCCCTCCCTCTCTTCCTCCTCCTCCCTCCTCCCTCTTCCACCTCCTCCTCTTTCTCCTCCTCCTCCTACTCCTCCTCCTCCTCCTCCTCCTCCTCCTCCCCCTCCTCCTCCTCCGCCTCCTCCTCCTCAGGCCGCCGCGGAGGCATCAGGACGCCCCCTCACTTCCTTGCCCCCGTCCACTTCAAACGCTGCGGTGTGCGGCAGAAGGAAAGCTTCTACAGTATCTACACGGCCACCAGTCCACTGCCACCCATCCCTTGCTCGGATGGTGAAGCGCGGAATCTCCTGACCGCCCTTCACGAAGAGCAGCAGGAGGAGGAGGAAGAGGAGGAGGAGGAGGAGGAGGAGCAGAAACAGGAGCAGTTGCAGGAGGACAACGAGCAGGAGGTTGGCTGGTTCTGGGACCGACTTCCGGGCAGTACTCCTCGACGGGACGGCGGGGCCGACCATGCCTTGAGAATCGGTCCCGGCAAAGCCCGTCCTGGGTCCAGCTTCGGAGCAGCTCCAGAGGCCAGGCCTACGGGGGGGCACGGCACCCTTGGCCGTTTGCGTGGCCAGCGGCCCTCCCGCCGCCGGCTTCCTAGGCCGCCCGTGGCTGGCACTTTGCCTGACAGCAGCGGTCGCTTTCATTGTTAATTATCAATTTCCGGTTACGTGCCAGTGGCGCGCCGACCGAGGCAAGGCCATGGGCGTTTGCGCCAAGCATGCCCACCTTTGATGCAGCCGTTACCTCAGAATATTCAGATTCGTGCCTCAGGGCACGGTAGCGGATTTCAGGCACCGCGGCGTGTCTGGATGATGGCTAACCCCATGCTTGTACGCATCCTAGACGGGAGCGTTCCTGACGCTTCCAAGGCATTTGACTTGCAACGGCGTGCGCCATTCTTTCATCGAGCACCGTGACACTGGATCGGCGCATACAGTCCAGACGCCGAGATAGCGGGGTCAAGAGGGGTGCTGGTTTCCGGGTCGCTCCGTAGACCTGGGTCGGGGAACCTCTCCGTGGCCGAGGCTCGCCGTGACCAGAGGAGCCCAGTCGTTCCTCGTGAGCGCTCAGATCTTACGAGGAGGACTTTATTGTGACAGAGTGTGTTTTGTAGCCGCCTGGGGAGGGGGGAGGTGACCCCCCGTTCCCTCTTCCCTGCCCCGCACGGTTGCACGTCGCGCTCGAAGAGGGGTTGTTAGGAGGCGGTTCAGCAGTCCCCCCTTTCCCCCTCTCGCGCCGGCCGCCAGCGTCAACAACGATCATTGACGGTGACGACGACCCCACCCGACCTGCTTTAATGTCCTGCCCGCCCGCCTCTTTAATGTCCCGCCCGGCCGACCCCCCTGTTTTAATGTCCCGACCGACCCGCCCGTCGCTGATGTCGTCGTCGGCGTCAGCGTCTACAGCAGCGGCGTCGCTGTCTGGTGCGAGAACGGGGAGGGGGGCGGGAGAGGGGGGAGGGGAAGGGGAGGCGGGGGGGCGATCTGGCCCCCCCGTGCATAAAGGAAGAGCCCCCCCCCGGTTTCTATCCCCCACCTGTCTTGCTCGGGGGGGGGGGGCAGGACAAGGGGAGCGGGGGGGGAGTTCAGTTTAGCAGAGGCACCTTGCTGCGTTTTCAGGCCGAGCGCCCGTGAAACGCACTCCCTCGTGTGTACACGCCGCGACATAATCTGCCATGCCAGACAATCCCGGTGTTACCCGCGCCACTCGCTCTCCGCGGGCGCCGACGAGTGCCTTCCCCGCATGCTGTTCTTTCGCTTGCTCCCCCCCCCGTCACCGCAATCTCGCTGGGGACTCTGCTTGATCCCTCCTCCCCCTGCTCGTGGACGAGAGCGCTCCCCCCCGTCACCGCAATCTCGCTGGGGATTCTGGCTGAGTCCTCCTCCCCGTGCTCGTGGACGAAAGCCATCCACGTGCACCGATCCTGGCCAGGCCAACCGGGCCCAGGACACACGCATACGGCTTGCTGATGAAGCTGGGGGGGAGGCGTATCCCCCGATTCTGGACCCAGGATGGGCCAGGATCGGCGCAGGTGGATGGCCGGCGTCCTCCAGACGGAAAGCTGGATAAACACAAAGTGTCCTGCCGGGGCGAGAGGTGGGCACGCGTCCGAGATGGGCCCGTCCAGGGACAGCGCAGGCGGGTAGCTTGCGTCGTCCTGACCAGAACTCTCGGATCTGACGCTCAGAAAAGTTCAACATCTCGAGCAATCACGGCAGGAACCCTGGCTTTCATCTTCCTGTTGCATTCTTCGAGCGGGATCGACCTGTGAGGGCCCTGGGCCCGAGAGTGGGCGAGCACGCCCGTGAGGAAAAAAGTGCAACGCCGGGATCTCCCGGAAGCCGGATGCACACGACGTGTCCTGCCAGGGCGAGGGCTGCGTGCACGCGCGGCCGCACGTGCTTCCGGCGCTGGGCCCTCGCGTGGCCATGCACACGCCGCCCGCGCGCGCGTGCACCCGGCTCCCTCGGAGCACGGGCGCCGCTCGGGGCCCCGCGAGCGGGGGCCGTGGCGAGCCAGGGCAGCGGCAAGCCCCGAGACGAGCTGCGGCCGAGGGCCGAGACAGTGTCTCGGGTGCAGCGCTTGGGGGGTGACATCGGGAATCGGCGCTGGTGGCTCCTTGGTCGGAAACTGGCCTTATCTGGGCGAATTCCGTCGACTCCATCCCGCTTCATCCCGTCTCTCTGAATCCCGCCTTCTATCCTCAGAAAGTCCAGGGTTCGCTAGGGGCCGGCTTCCTTTCAAAACAACCGAAGCCCCCCCGAAACCCTCCAGGAAGGGTCCCCGGGGGCTTTTCGGAGTGGTTCGCGAGGGATTCGGAAGGGCTTTCGTCGTTTTGGAGGGGAACCTGTCCCTGGCGAACCCTGGGCTTTCTAACTTTCCCCCGGGCTGAATCCGGCCTGGTCGGGCTCGATGGCCCCTCAGTCTGGTCACCAGCCGGCCTGGTAGCCCTTCTTCGGACGAAGGCCTCCCAGGAGCTGCCTCGTCCTCTGGACGGGCGCTCCAGAGCGCTCCCGGGCACGCTCTCGGAGCGACCCCGAACGCGCTGAGGAGGCCGCGGCGCCGGACACGTCCTCCAGAGAGCCGCCGGATCTTGGAGGTTCTCGATGTTGTCTTCACCCGATGTTGTCTTCGTCCTGGCTGCGTCTGCCTCCTAGCACACTCTTCGCCCCTCGAGTAGGAGGTCGACTACAGCGCTGGTTTGCTCCATATTTGACTTGCCCGCCGGATTTACAAGAAACGCGTAGAATGTTCGCAGATATACTGGACACTCTACGCATTTGTTCGCAGACTCGGCGGGAGAATGAGTTTGGGGCAATTCAATTCTGTGGTCGATCCCCTGCTCGAAGCACTGCCTCCATCATTCTTCGCTCCCTCCCTCGGGGTGGGCTTTCCAGGGCCCTGGCCTGCAGTGTCTCCCGAGAGCTCCGGCCCGTCCGCCCCCGCATCGAGAGGGCCACCGCCTTCGTAGACATCCGCCGACCTGATTTTTGTCGCACAGCGGCCCCAGAAGTCGAAGGAGGAAAAGGCACCCACACTGCTACTCTTCGCTCGTTTTTCACATGTTTGGGCCTCCTGGCAGGCCCGCGTCGCCACCGCTGGATTCGCTTCGAAATTCTGGGCAGAACGCACCCCGGGCAGAGGTCCAGGGAGTAGCGGTTATCGGTACTTCTTGGTTTCCCCAAGAAGTCTTTCGTTGCGTGATATCCGACCCAGCACTAAACCTCCAGGTCGTTTTTGGAGGTCCCCGCGGCGATCGCGGCGGCCACAAATCGGGGAGAGTGGCAGCATGCTCTTTCTGAGCACCCCCCCGCTCTGCGATGTAGACGTGGCTCAGCTCTTACATACATATATATATATATACACACACGTATACATAGATCGACAGAGAGTTGCCAACTTATGTCCAACATGGACAATGTTTTTGTAAGGGTGCGATTGCCACGCCAACCAGTCCCGAATGACGGGCCACAGGGACCGAAATCGAGGAAAAACGGTTGGATAAAAGACAGGTCGTCGGAGGTTTGGGTTTGTGGCGGACCTTTCGGCGCTGCGGGCCCCTGGCTGAGATTCGACGTTGCAAGAAGCGAAAACAAAATTATAAGCATCGCGAAACATCACGATCGTAGCCCTAGGCCCCATCTTCCTGCGTCACTCTTTGAGTCGGATCGATAGGTGAGGGCCCCAGGGCCCGACATTGGGCGAACGCGCCCGCTGCGAGGAAGTCGCAACGCCAAGATCTCAGGGCTGGCCAGGTGCCCTGCGTGCCCGCGGCGGCCGGCTCCCCGGCCGCCTGGGGCGCGGCCCGCGGGCCGCTGCCGCCGCGGCGCAGCCCCGGGCGCGCTCGACGCGCCGCGCAGGTCGGGGGGCGGGGGGGCGGGACGGCTCGTGGGGTCCGCTCGGGCGCTGCCGGAAGCGGCCCTGGCCCAAGGCGGCCTCCCTCCTCCCTCCCTCCCTCCTTCCCTCCTTCCCTCCTCCTCCTCCTCCCTCCTCCCTCCTCCCTCCTCCTCCTCCTCCTCCTCCTCCTCCTCCTCCTCCTCCTCCTCCCTCCTCCTCCTCCTCCTCCTCCTCCTCCTCCTCCTCCTCCTCCTCCTCCTCCTCCTCCTCCTCCTCCTCCTCCTCCGCCCGTCGCCGTCGCCGAGCAGCCCCATTCGGGTGTTGCGAGAAGCGGCCCTGACCCAAGTCGACCCCGGCCTGCCCGGTTTTGCAATTGATTCACTGGGCGCTTTCGCCCAGATGACTTTCACAGATCGATCCAGCTCGAAAAAATGCAGCAGAAAGATGGGGTCTGGGGCTCCAGTCGTAAATGTTCGCGGTGCTGCAGTTTTTTGGCAACGTCAGATCTCAGGGACGCGGCCCACGCAGCGTTGCTTGGGAGCTGCCCAGGCGCTGCCCACGGGCCCAGCAAGCGCTGCCCAGGAGCTGCGCACGAGCTTCCGAAGCGTTGCCCAGGAGCTGCACAGGCGCTACCCACGCGCTTAGGAGGCGCTGCCTAGGCGCTGCCCAGGACCAGCGCACGAGCTCAGGAACTCAAAGTGGCGCGAAGAGCTGGGAGCACCCTGGGCCAGAACCGCCTCTAGCCTCCAAGGGGGCCCAGGCCTCTTGGGCCCCAGACTCGTAGGGGAGCCCAGGACTCGTGGGCACTAGACTCCAGGGGGGCCAGGAATTGGGGGGCCTAGAACCCAGGGGAGCCAAAGACTCCTGGGCCCCAGGTTCCAAGGGGAGGCCAAGGACTCCTGGGCTTTGACTCCAAGGGGGGACCTGCAACACCCGACCCCTGCGCGCTCCCCCCCCCCGTGTCCGCGGCGCGCGGGGGGGAGGGCGGTGCGAGGCGGGCGGACCGGCGAGAGGGCACCCGGCCGCACGGAAGGCCCCTTTCTGCGGTTTTCTCGGGGAGCTTGCGCGGAGGCCCCTCGAGAGGCAGACCCCTCGCGGGGAGCAGACTGCATAAGCGCGACCCGTTGCAGGAGCAGGGCGATCTGTGGGGTTCCGGGCAGAGCCAGCGGGGCGCTGACGATGCGTCCAATCATGTCAAGACCACGTCGCAGATGGTTGCTCGAAACATGCATGTGTCGTTGATGCATGGCGGGGCGCTCTTCCGAGAAGTCGCCGCGCCCTTCTTGGGAGGCCCTGCGGCCGTGGGAGGGGCCCCCCCATGGAGAGAGGGGGAGAGGGGGGGGGGCCGTGCGAGCTTTTGAGAGGCCCCCCGCGCCCTGTTGCGGGAGGCCTTGCTGCCGTCCGAGGGGCCTCCGAGGGAGGGCGACCCCCCGATTGTGAGCTTTCCGGGGCCTGCGCGAGGCTCCGTCTCTGCAGCCCCGCCCTGCGGAGTGGCCTCTGGGATCCTGTGTCAGACCTGTTCCTCCAAGGCCAGATTGGCCCCCATCTCGCCCAATCTGTTTTTTCGCCACGCAGAGGTCCGCCGAGAAGGTGACAGACCTAAAAGGGCGGCCCCCAGCGAGCAGGCTCCCAAAAGAAGTTACATAGGGGGGTGAGGGGCACGCCCTCAGGAGCCATCCTGCCTTCTCAGGAGCTTTCTTGGAAGCCCACTAGCAGGGGCAATAGACTCAGAGGGGAACGCATCGACCCCTAGTCGCCCATTCATCGCCGATGGGGGCCCGACAGCCCACCCCGCCCAGGGGCGTGCGCATTCGCTATTGGGGGCCCATCGCCGATTCAAGCTTGAGGCTTTCTCACCCTGAGTCGGTCCCCCCCCTGACGGCCCCCCTTCATCCTGGGAGAGGGCCACGCCCTACTAAGAATTAGAATCCCTTTGCCATCGCAGAGGGCCGGCCCCCCCTCGTTGCATTCTCCCGTTCTTCGTGCCCGTGCCCCTTCCCCACACAGCGCCTGCACCAAGGAAGGGGCTGCTACCACACCCTCAGAAGCGAAGCCCGTGGTCAGGGGTTGCTGGATGGGCCGGGAGGGTTGGACAGAGCTAGGTGGAAATCTGGCGACAGGTGAGCGACGCAAAACACGGGGCAGTTTGCGCCGACATTGGGGCGTAAGATGCCCGCGTAAGTTCGCGCGTAAGCGCCCTCGTCTCCAATGCAACGTGCCGCGCCGACGGCCCGCGTAAGCCACCGCGTAAGGTGGCTACGCCATCTCGCGTAAGACCCGTTTTTGATCGTCGCCCAGGCGCTTCACAGTAGAGCATGAGATCGGAAGGATGTGGCTATGTCTGTTTCATCTCCTGGCCGCCGCTCATAACAGCCCCGCCAGCACTGGTTGCCCTCGTGTGCTCTGCCCTGAGGGCCCCGTAAGTAGGGGCCTATGGGCGAGCAGATGCTGCGGCACGCATGCTACGCATCCTTCTGGTGTCCTGACAGGTACAGGAGTAGCCACTGCTCTGGGAGCACTCGCAGACATTGACACAGATTCCCTTACGTCTCCCGTGATGGCCGATAAGAGTACGTCCGTCTCTGGGCGTCCCCTGTGTCTTTCAGTGCGGCTTGCCTGCTAGACCTCCCACGCTAAAGCCCATCGCTTGCTATTTGGCCATGCACCCCAGTTGGCAGCGCGGGCAGCCTATGCCTATTGCGCCGGTGCCTCTGTCCAAGGTTACGACGAAAGTATCTAGTACACATATGTGCTTAGATGGCTGCGGCAATGCACATGTCCATGCTGGTCACTGTGCCTGTGCGTATGACCCTGTTGCGTTATGGTATGCAAGTTCTTCGGAGTGGAGGGATGAAATGGTTTATGGTATGATTCGCGTGCGTGCGTGTGAATGTAAGTAAGCGTGTAGTAATGCGTGTACGTGTGATTATGTTCCGACGAAACGGCCTGACGGGCTTCCAGCGCCGAGCTTCCGCACAGCTTGGCTCGGTAGGCGGGGAGAAAAAAAAAGGGAAGGTGAAGTGGGAGGCGGAGAGGGAGAAGGCGACGACCACGAGGGAAGGAGGGAGGGAGGGAAATAAGGGAGAGGAGGGGGAGGAAGAATGAGAAGGAGCATGAGGAGGGAGAGGGAGGATAAGGAAAAGGAGGTATCCCCTCCTCCCTCGCTCACTCCCTCCCCCATTCCTCCTTCACCTGCTTCTCCTCCCCTTCTATCCCCCTCCTCCCCATCCTCCTCCCCATCCTCCTTTCACTCCTCACACTCCTCTGCCTCCCCTTTCTCCTCCTCCTCCTTCCCCCATAACCCCTTCCCATTGCTCCCATCCCCCTCTCCTCCTGCCCCTTCTGCGAGGAGGGGGGAAAGGGGAAGGGAGGGAGAGGCGGGTGGCTGTTGGATAGACGAACTTCTCGACACGGAGATCCCCATATGTGCATATCATAGTGATGACACGCTTCGGTAGAAGGCATTGTCCTTGTCCATATCTGAGTGTCAGCGAATTCATGTGGAAAGCGAAACCGAGAGAGGCGCCGACGACTACGACTGTTTTAACTAGTTGTTTCTTCCTTATTTCCTCCTCCTCCTCCTCCTCCTCCTCCTCCTCCTCCTCCTCATTGTCCTTCTCCTCTTTCTCAGTCGTTTCCTTTGAACACCTATCAGGGTGCCGACAACTGCTCCGAAAGAGAAGGATGATGAGCACCCAAACAGGCAAGCCGCTTGAGACATTCCCCCCAATCTGGGCGCGAATGGGCCCGTGAGATACACCCTGGCGCCCGCCCCCCCCCCACCCCACACCCACCCACACCCCCACCCCACCCCCTCCTGGGAGTGCTGACACGAGCGCCTCGCCCGACATCATCGGAAACTGTTCCGAAAGAGAACGTTGTTGAGCACCCAAACAGACAAATCGCCTGAGACATCCCCCAATCTGGGCTCGAACGGGCCTGTGATATACCCCCTGGCGCCCCCCCCCCCCTTGGAAGTGCTGAAACCAGCGCCTCGCCTGAGACATCATCGGAAATTGGTCCGAAAGATAAGGGTGTTGAGCACCCAAACAGGCAAACCGCCTGAGACAGCCCCCCAATCTGGGCACGAACGGGCCCGTGAGATACATCTTGGTGCCCCCCCCCTTGGAAGTGTTGAAACCAGCGCCTCGCCTGAGACATCCTCGGAAGCTGCTCCGGAAGAGAAGGATGTTGAGCACCCAAGCAGGCAGACCGCCTGAGGCATCCCCCCAATCTGGGCGCGAACAGGCCTGTGGTATACCCCCTGGCGCCCCCCCTTGGGAGTACTGAAACCAGCGCCTCGCCTGAGACATCCTCGCAACGTGTGTGAGAGCCTGCGCGCGGAAGTACCAGGAGTGTGAGTGAGTCTGCATATGAGTGATCCCGAGCATGGGAAACCTGAGTATCAGAAATCTAAGAGCGAGTGCATCTGAGTACGAGTGAGTCTGAATATGAGTGAGTCTGTACGTGAGTGAGAGAGAGAATGATGACCTGAGGGTTGGGGGTGTTCGTTCCGCGCGGTCAAACTAATGACAGGAACCCCATCCTTAGGAGATGGGAAACAAACAACTGACAGCGGGCAGTCAGGTAGATCGCGCTCCTATGCGGTATGGGTGAGGCGGCGGACGGAGCGAGGAGGAGGAGGGTGCACCCATGTCCTCTCACCATCGCCCTGCCTACACAACAGAGCGCCTGGACATCGCAGTGGAGAACTGGGGTGTCGCCACATCCTCCAGAGCGAGGGGTGTGGCTTGTCAAGCAAGTCAATGTCACAATGCGGGGGGGGGGGGGGGGGGGCGGCGGATCCAGCACAAAGTGTACCCCGCCGAGGTCCATGAGTCTTGTCGTTGCGTTGGTGCAGGCCCCAGCCTTTCTGGATCCCTGGTGGTGCAAGTGCGTGTCTCGTCTAATAGGGGCACCGCCAATGACTTGGGTAAAGGGTTAGCAGGTTGTCGATGCGGAGGTCGTGCCCGCAGGAGCGCTGCCCGAGCTCCGTCTGAACATATATTGTCTTGCGCTTGTCACTTGCACATGCTGTAAAATTGGAATGTTCGTCGGCTTACCAGACACACCTGCGCCGCATTCACAGAGTGTCTCTGCACCTTGCTCAGACAGGAAGATCATCATTCGCGAAGTGGAGAGGTAAGTATGACGACGGTGAACAAAGCCCGAATGATTGTATGCATGGTGGGCGTGTGTCCTCGACTTACTCTTGCTTCGATTAAGCATGCATCGCGGCACCTTGCGCCTCTTACAGTGCGTTATGTACATTATCTGCGTTGAACGGCCGCTCTGCCTGGTCCCCCATGACACCCACGAGGCCGACTTTGCGGCCAACACGCTGCCAACAAAAAAGCAGTAGTGCGTCAGCGCTATTGGCTCGGTTATTCGGCTTAGCTCAGCTGATCTGTTGCCAGGTGCATTTGACGCGGCGAATCTCTATCAATGCGTCCCCGTCTGTGGAGAGCGTAGACAACTCACACGGTTCACGTCTAGTGCCCAGCTCCAGGATGTGTGTACGGGCATGTTTGGTTCCGCCTGCGCCCAGCATGCGCCTGGCATGTGCGGTGATTGACCCGGCGGATTTGCAGCAGGCGATCGGCGTATTCATATGTGCGCGGCATGAGTGGGGGCATGCGGACCGAGTTATTCACAAGAGTTCCCGCTTGGATCTCGCCCCTCGATTGTTGAGTGTAGTTGTGCGGGCATTTGCAGAGACAACGGCCGTATGTTCCTCATCCTCCATCTCCGCCTCGCAACAAGTTTCGCTCCTATCCCGCATCCCTTATCCTCCCCCCCCTTCTTCTCCTATAATGCATCCTGTATCGTTAGCCTCCTTCGTCGTATTCCTCCTCCTCGTTTGCCCTTCCTTCTCCTCTTCCACATCATCATCCCCCTCCTCATCATCATTCTCGTTCATCATCCCACCTCCTTCTCCCCCTCATCCTCCCTTCTTCCTTCCTCAGTCTTTCTTCATCAGCCTCCTCCTCCTTCTCCTCCTCTTCCTCATCATCATCATCATCACCATCATCATCATCATCATCATCATCATCATCATCATCCTCATCATCCGTAGCCATTTTGGCTCAAGCCATTTTGGCTCAAGGCCAAATGGCTTCCATTCCACTGCCTCAGCGGGGTAGGTTCCCATCAGATCGTCCAGTTGTCTTGCCGCCACAATCAGGGGCTAGCGGCCGCCCAAGTGTCCTCGCCATAGTATTTGTTGCTGCGTGCGCCTCCATATTCCATCCGTCGGTCGAGTACCTCCTGACGAAGAGCCACCTCTGCATCAGCTGGGACGGCTTCCATATCGCGCCCCAGGTCGCTGGCGAGAAGCGGCCCACAGACAGCAACGACTTCAACGACCCCGCGCTGCATAGCGTCTCGCTCCACCTCCCACAACGGCAGAGTACTTCACAATGGCATCCAGTGAAAGTAGCGGCAGCAGCTCCTCCTCAGCATCTAAAGATCGACGCAGACGGCCACGCAAAGAACGAGAACGAGATCGCAGAGACAAGGGCAGAGGTAACGGCAGCCACTCCCGCAGTGATAGAGGTCAACGAAGTGACAAGCATAGATCCGAGCGTCCTCCTTCTCAAGATCGGGACAGACGACGAGCTGAACGTGAACGTGAAGACCACCGTGAACACGAGAAGGGGGCTACACAACGAGCTCATCCCCCACGTGCGGGCCGAGCAGGTACAGCCACAGCTACCACACCCACACGCAGAGCAGCGCGCAGCGGAGGACCGTCGGCCGCGACAGCAGCCAGAGCAACCAGTGCAAGAGCCGACCCGAGAGGCGAAGATGCACTACAGCGAGAGGACCCGTGGACAGGGTCTCAGCCTCCACCTGGACCAGCTTCTGCGGCCTCCCACATGCGTGCTGCAGAAGAAGCGGCTACAACACCCGGCACGCCTACTGGAACACCAACAGGAGTGGTACCAGCGACTCCAGTTGCGGGCGAGGCATTCGGCAGCATCCCTACCCCAACTGGAGATGGATTCGTGCACGACGACAGCTCGCTGGAGCAGCGCCTCAGCCAGCTCTTCTCCTCCCAGATCGAGTCCGCCACCGCCAGGCTCCAGAACGAGTCAGAGGCCATCATACGCAACGCTCAGCAAGCTCTTCAAGGCGAACTTCAGCTCGTCCTCGGACATGTGCGACAGTATGGCCGCAGGATGGACGTCCTTGACACCTCAGTCCGAGAACTTAGCCAACGTACACACACAGTGGAGCAGGAACAACTACAGATGCGGCAAGATGTGGAACGGATTCAATCGCAATTGGCAATGGCGGAAGCTACTTTACCCGCCTTCGACATGGCAGCTCTGGCAGTTCGGGATCGACCTCCAGATCCCCACCTCTACACTATTGGCGCACCATCGGCTATACAACCCGCAGAAGTCAAGCGAGCTCTTGAACCTTGGATCAATGCAGCAGGCGTCTCCACCAACGACATCGAGCTCATCGGCGACGTACCCGCACGGCGTTTCTTCCTCAGAGTCTTCGGTGGACAAGCAGCCACTTCACGCAGTCTTTCACTCGCACGGAATCTCAGAGCAGGAGGTCAGTGGCGTAACTTCTCGGCTCCAAACACTACAGGCGCGCTCACTCCCCTGTACATCAACGCGGACAAGTCTCCTAAAACACTTCGGCGAGAACTACAAACAAAGAGATTGGTCAGACTCCTGGCAGACAAGTACGGCTATCACCACTTCAGAAGGGTCGGAGACGAAGGTATCGTCTCTTGCAGCTCAATTCCCTTTGTGGTTCTCGAGGTTGGAGACAGCGCCAACGCACCCACAAAGCTCAGGTGGAACATCGCAGTCGCCCACCAGATGGGCATCGACAAGGTCACTATCACAGATCAGTTTCGGCAGCTCTTCCAGGCCACAGATACGACGCGGTGGTCTATTTAACACGCGCTGGAGCCCGTGGCTACAACAAGCTAGAGACAGTGGTGGCCAAGTAGTATCGTGGAATGCTCGTGGCCTGTGCTGCTACAAGAATCGCCGCCGCAAGAACAAGCTGCGCAAGCTGGAGAGGTTCATGAAGGCATCCGCTCTCATCATGATCCAGGAGACGCACGGTGTTCGTCAACAGCTTGAAGGCATGGTCGCCTCCTCCCCATACAAGTACAAGGTCGTTCACTCTCAGGCGGAAGAATCATCACAGAGTTCATCAGAATCACCCGATGCTGAGCGCGCTGGCAACGCACGGCGAGGTGGAGTGGCATTCCTAGTGCCGTGGCCTGCGAGTGCTGCAGATACCAGACCGTCTCTCGAATTTGAAGTACTAGTCCCAGGCAGGGTCGCGCAGCTGTCTATCAAGCACCATGAGCTACGCTACCAGATGCGCGTCATGAATGTTCACAACTACAACATTTCCCCGAACGACAAGAATGTTATCAACAGCAGATGGATGGAAAATATTCAATGGGCAAGCAGCAATCATCTTGAGCGAACGTTCATCGCGATAGGTGACTTCAACATCCGTGAGGGCGTTCCGTTGTCATATGATCACCCGGTACCTGATCAGGCCCAGCTACGGACACTTCGTACATACCAACCTGCAGAAGCTTTCTGGCGTTCCCTCTTTGACACTATGCAGGAGATCCGCTCGGAGGTGCCAACATATTTCAGCAGACAGCATTACACCGCATCGGCCATCGATAGACTTTTTGTCAGTACACCAGAGCATTACCTGATCGCCACGGACATCCACCTCTCTGTTGCCATGGACCCAGTGGAGATGGCCCAGTCACGCTTGAGCGACCACTCCATCATCCACGCCTCCTTCAGAGCCAAGCAGAACATCCCAGAGGAGGCGCAGCGCATCCCAGATGTGGTCTTCACGGACGAGCGTTACAAGATCATACTCGACAGCCTCATCAGCGCGAGTGGACTGGAAAGGTTCTCGCCTGTGCTGAAGTGGACGCACGTGAAACAGCTCATGCTTGAGGCCGCTCGTCAAACTCGAGATGAGCTTCAGCGGCTACCATATCGACCTGGCGACAAACGTGCACGAGGTGGCCGCAACATTACTCTCCGCAGTATTTCTAGAGCCGTGTGGAAGCAGGACCTACAGCAAGCAGCCCTTCTGGTATCAACCACCGAGGATGGCAAGCGCTTTCTCCACATCGATGAGGGTGGTGTCAGACTCCAGAACGCGGACACCTTTCGCGTCCTCTTCCGCTCACTACACGACGCGGAACTTGAGGCTATGCAGTTACGTGCTGCCCGAGCTGCACAAGCGGCACAACGAGCTGGAGACCAACCTGCAGCTGAAGCGCATTTTCGTCAACTGCCTGCTGGTCGCCGCAGGGCCTTCCTCTGGAAACCGAAGGGCCGCAGGATGGTGCTGGCAGGTATCCGTCCTGAACACTCTAGAGAACCCCGAGGCCCCTGTCGTTCGAGGCCCCACAGAAGTTCATGAAGCTCTTGCTGCCTACTGGGGGAAGGTTTTCCGCTACAAATCGGCCGACAAAAACAAAATCGTGGCTCACCTGGACAGAGTCTACCCGTCGGCCCCAGAGGTCCCGATCCCGATCCCGAGTGTGGATGACCTCAGGGCTACCCTCAAACGTGTTCGTCACTCTTCGCCAGGTCCAGATAGGTTACCATATCGGGCATGGATGGTAGCCGAAGAGCAACTGTACACCCTCCACGGCCTGATGCTGCACCTCTTCGCAGGTGACTACGTTCCCGAGGATCTGAACGATTCCCTGTTCGCTTTCCTTCCCAAAGGTTCTGAGCCCCTAGATGCTTACGAATGTATCAGAAAGCCCTCTCAAATTAGACCGCTGTCGCTACGTAATTCGGACTCCAAGATGTTGGCCTCAGCGGCCAACCATAGAATCAAGGCCCTGGTCCAATCTCGGACCCATGTCGTCCAACAAGGTTTTGCTCCTGGCCGCAATTTTGTCGGGAATATTATTCGTTTAGATAGCGCGGCGCGTAGAATGAGTGCACAG